CACCCCTTTCCTAAGAGGCCTGTAGGGGGCGTGCATAAGCGCACCAATGTGCCTACCGTCCCTGTCCTATTGTTTCTCTTATTCTTTTATTTTTCTTATATGTACCCATTTCATGTATTCACAACTATGTATACACTTATACTTATTATCTTGTAAACAATTGGCAAATCAAATAAATAAAAATAAATAAATAAAGGAGGCAGCTGGAGAGGCCGCCCATCCCACGCTTCCCCCCCCCCACAGAATCGGGCCCTCGGGGAGCCCAGTGTGAATCCTTCCTTCTCCTCCTCCTCGCTTGGCTTCTCTCCCCTCCTGCTGAGCCTCCGCAAGGCCCCCCTCCCCCCCTTCGCATGGAAAAGACGGCTGGGAAGCATGGGAACCGGGAAGAGCCCCCCCTCACCCCGGTCACGTCTGGATGTCGTCCCACGGAGCCTCTCCACTCCCTGCGGCGCCCCAGGGGTTGAAGAAAGCGAGTGCGGGGTCCTAGAGAGGCAAGGCTCAGTTATGTCCCTTCCTTCGACGCCTCCTGGAGAAGGCAGCCGTCAGTGGCCCAATGGGGAAGCGCCTACAGATCCCTTCCCTTGACGGAGGGTGCCCCCTGGTGGACTTGGGGCAAAGGGCAAGGAGGCCAAAAAGGGCGGGAAAGAGGAGCGCATGGGAGAGGGAAGGGAGATGGGCTTGGGAGTAGCAGGAAAGGCCCCTCTGCATGGCTCCCTGTCAGACAAAGGCTTCCACTTCTGTGCTTCTTTCCCACCTTTTATATGAACCCAAATGCCTCGAAGGAGGTTTTCGTCTTTCTTCTGGGGCGTTTCTAGAGCGGTTTGGTTATTTCTTGTACAAAAAGTGTAACTCCACCTCCGCCTCTTTCATTAGGTCTGCTTATATATTTGTTTAGAGAAGAGAAGAGAGAAATCTTTGTGGAAATCTGAGAAATCTGGAAGATGCATCCATGTCTCGCCTCATCCTTCTTTTCCTCAGTCCAGACACACCCAGTTCCAGCAACCGTTTTTAAAAATATCTTTTACCCTCCATCTTTGTTGCTCTTCTCTGCACTCTTTCTGGTGTGTCAAGACCTTATTTATTTGTTTAATTATTATACAAAACACAAAGAAAAATATAAATAGGAAATTAAGGGAAGGAGAAAGAGGGGAAAAGAAAGTCTGAGGTACAAGAGAACAAAGGGGAAAAAAAGATGTTGACTTCTTTTTAACACAGTGCAAGATTTTTTTAAAAAACCATTCCAGCCTGACAACTCAATCTAATGGACAAAAGCAAAGTCATTTTGGGTCTTTTTCTTTTGAACCCTTTAAATGTGAAAACATCCCATTTAATGGCTGGAGAAGGAAAGCGCACAAAGGTCCCAAACACCCCGTTGTGGCTGAGGGAGGGAGGGCTCCCGCCTGTGGGGATCTGCGCTCTGATTGGTTGCTGCTGGTGGAAACGGGGCGCTTCCCTTTTTCCCCGCCTTTTTCTTCTCTGGGCTGTGTGAGATTTACCTCAGGATGTTTCTGAGGAGAGGAATCGCCTTTTTTCTCCCCTGAAGCGAAGCGGCGCCTCTCCCTGGTTTAGCCGAGGGGTTTCCGGGGCTTCCCTTCGGATTGGAGGGGGTGTCTGTGGGCGACCCCCCAACTTCTCATTGGCTGCGGGGCTGCCTCTCCCCCCCCGCTTGTCATCCAGTGCAGCGGCTCTTCCCACGACAGAATCTACCCATGAAATGAACACACGTGTGTGTGTGAGAGGAGGAGGAAACTTTCTCGGACTTTTGATTTGGGAGGGGCCAGAACCAATGAGAATCCTCCCTTCTGCAGCGTCATCGGTCTCCGGGCAGACTCTCCCTTGAGTTCACCCGCTGGAAGAGAGAAGCGGAGAAAGTGGGCGGGGGGGGGGCTGCATTCTCGGGGGTCTTTCCTGCCAGCTCCGGAGGGGAGGGTGGACTTCCTTTAGCGCCCCCCCCCATGATTCTCATCCCGTCTCCCTTTCTCTGAGCGCCTGGAGGGGCGGACTAGATGCCCTTTGAGTGCCCACAGAGCCCAGAGGGCGCCCAGGCTGCAGCTGCGGAGACTCCAGACGGGCAAAGAGGAGGCAGAGCTCGAGGGGTCCTTCGGGCTCCCCCCCCCCCCCCGCTCAGTCTGGGAGGAGAAAATGTGGGTCCAGGAATGGATAACATTAAGAAATACCAGATTGTTGACATTAGAAGGACATGATTTGTTGTTGGGGTGGCACTCTTTTTTATGATATAAGGGAACTAAAACACAGGGCTATTTTAGAAGACATCATATACGGGAGTCTTTGTGGTTAAATTGGGAGAAAATTAAAAGACAATGTTATTTGAAAATTCCAGTCTGGTTATCGACTATTGAAGCATTTTCTTATCCTATAATATATAAAAAGGAACAAACAGATATGGGGAAATATTGAATGAAAAGGGTGAACTTAAACCTATGCAAAAACTAGAGGAACAAGGTATAAAGATGAACTGGTTTTCATATGCGCAAATACATTCAAGGTATGATAAAGATTCTAAAAAAGAAGGTTTCTATGATAAATTGACTGATCTAGATAAGATTTTGACAGGTACTGATGAAAAGGTGATTAAAAAATTGTATGGATATTTATTAGAAATTAAACTAGAAGAAGAACAAGTTAAAGTAACTATGATTGCTTGGGGAAAGAACTTTGGATATGGGACTGATTTAGAGAAATGGCAAAAATTGTGGTCTCAAAATTATAAAATGACAATGTCAACAGCTTATAAAGAAATTTTGTATAAGATGTTTTACACGTGGCATTTCCCCCCGACAAGAATAGCAAGAATGTTCAATAATAAATCCGAAAAATGTTGGAAATGTCATCAGACACCTGGCTCATATTACCATATGTGGTGGACTTGTGCGGACGCTAAAAAATACTGGACTAAAATCCACATGTGGTTGGAAAAAATGACAAAAAAACATATAGATTTGAAACCAGAGATATTTTTATTGGGAATTTTACCTGAAACGTATAGCAAAGATTTGAAATACCTGATTGTAAATGTATTAACAGTGGCTAGGATTGTATTTCTTAAAACTGGAAAAAATGAGAAAATACCATCGCAGGAGGAAATCATTAAGAAAATATTGGAATGTGCTGAAATTAGTAGATTGACATTTGAAATTAGAGAACAAGAGGATAAACAATTTTATAAAATTTGGGACCTTTTCTATCAATGGTTAGATGATAAAATACAATAATAGAATATCTAGAATTTTAGAAAATAATAAATATATAAAGATGTAGTTTCTTTTTATTATATCTAAAGAATGTTTTTAGGATAGATTTGGGAGGATAATATGAATTGTTATAAAATAAACTAAGTAAACTATGGTTATCTCGTAAAATATGAATGAATAAAACTATAGTCAAATGACTGATTAATAATGATACTAGGGTATTTAATTTTTGATAGATAATATGAGCTTTTATGTAATGTTACTGTAATTGAAGACTACGAAATGGATGCACAAAATAATTTGTAAACCAACCGGCACGCTATTTGTATACCTATGGAAGATAGTTTGATGTTTTTATGTTTTGTTTGTTTATGTTTGTTTTTAAAAACCAATAAAATTTACAAATAATAATAATAATAATGTAGATGAAGCTGCTGTGGGTTCAAAGCCAGGAGAGCTGAGGAGGCTAGAAAGACAGGTCGGCCCAGCATCCCAGGGGCCAGTCCAGAGGGTCTCCAACCCTCCCTCGCAAGAAAGGGAAGCCCCCAAAGGAAGCTACCATCCTCCTCCTCCCCCCAACCTGCCACCTTCAGCGTCCATTTCTCAGATGTTGCAAACAGGACAAAGGATGATCAGCTACTAAACAAAAAAACATCCTTTGCATTAGAGAGCAGGATTAATCCATGAGGGCTGGAGAAAAAGAGAAGGGAAAGAAAATTAGAATATAAAGAAACATTTTTTTGTGTAAATAACATTTTTTTCTTCCCTTTCAGCCCGTCAACCCCAAGGCAGGCCCACACTGCAGGGGGGTGATTGACAGGCAGGGACAAATAGCGGGAGAATCTGCCCATTTCAGGGAGGAAAAGGCTGGGAAGTACCAGGGATTCCTCCCCATTTCATCTCCAGGGGATTCTGGGATTCTCCCTATTTGTCTTAATTAGAGGGTTAATCAAGAGGAGGGACCCCCTCCCTCCCCCCTGCAGACGTTTCATATGAGCAAAGGACGGGGCCAGGATGGGGGTTGAAGAAAAGGGGGGAGCCTGGGGGTCACTTGGCCAGAAATTGTGTGAATTCCCACAAGGAGAAGCGGGGTCAGAAAGAACAGCCTGTCAAGGTTCTGACTAGTGAACCCAAATGAGTCTCCATCGAGAGCCAAGAAGGATCATCTGGGACTGTGGGGGGGGGGGGGGGGGGGAGGGGGCCCGGTTCCAGGGGGGGTTTTGGGGGGGGTCCTGGAAGGGGTTGGGGGCATACTTCCTAAGGGCGGTTCCCCCCCCCGCCATCTGAGTATGGACTGAGCTGCAGAACGAGCTAACGCTATTATAGAACAATACCTGAGATGCTGTGTTAATTATCAGCAATCTAGCTGGGAAGATCTCCTGCCATTCGCTGAAGTGGCCCAAAATACCACAGTGCATATTAACATGGGACTCACCCCTTTTTAAAATAGCCACAGGGGTGGAATTTGTCCCCATGCCTGAATCCCCTCAGGAACCCCCCTCCACAGTGAGCCTAAAAGGATGGCTGGGTTGCTTACAAACTATGGGGGGGAGAGAAATGTAAACCTGGGATCCTCCTTCCCTTCCTTTCCTTCCTTCCCTTCCCTTTTGCAATTTCCCAAAACTTGGAAAAATTCTGCACAAGATTTTAGCGTTTCTGTGTACTTTTCTTTTTGATTGCAATATTTTTTCTGATCTCTGTAAGGAAAAGCTGCCCCAAATCCAAAAATTTGCTGTATCCACAGAAAGGAGATATTTTAAAAAAATATTAAAAAAACATCTATAACTTGCAGGAGGGGCTCAGATGAGGGAGGAAGAGAAGAAACTCACCTGCAGGAGGTTGGATGGGAGTGGCTGGAAGGAGAAAAAGAGCCAATCAGGACCCTTCATGGGTTGGAGGACTCAGGGGCTCCCCCTTCCCATCGATAGCCCATAATAGGCTGCGGTATCTTTCCTTAATAGCCCCTCCAAGAACAGAAGTTCCCCAAACTATTCCTCAGGGAGACCCTCTTGGCCACCTGCTGAGCTCGATGAGAATCCTCCCTTAGATGGTCCCCTCCCCACAACCTCTCCTCCAGCCCCCCCCAGACTCACCCTTCTTGCTCTTCAGGTAGGAGAAGAGCCCCACAGCCAGGAAGGCAGCTCCAATCACGGCCCCCATGATCCCTGTCCAGAGTTTGCTCCTGGCAGAGCTGGAGGAACGGAGCTCTGGGGAAGGAGAAGGAGCCTCACCTGAGCAGGAGGATCAGGCCCACCGTCCCCCAGGAGGGTCCATTCTGGCTCCCCCCACAGGGAGGTTGTTTCCCTCTTCTCAGGGCAGGAGGGGAGGGAGGAGAAGGACTTACCCCACTGGACAGTGATAGGGGCCTCCAGGCTGACATGCCCCACCTGGCAAGTGTAGACGTCCCCCCGCTGGGGCTGGGTCTCCAGCATCACCTGGAGCTGGTAGGTCCAGTCTCCATTCTGGATCTCCTCCCCGAAGGCCACGCCCTCCTCCTCCAGCTGGCCATTCTTCAGCCACCGGATCTCGATCTCCAGGGGGTAAAAGCCCGTGGCGGTGCAGAGTAGGATGGTGTTGGGGGAAGTGGGATCCATCTTGGTGGGGGAGATGGTGACAGTGGGCTTGGCTGGAGGGAAGGAAGAGAAAAAGGCACATGAGAGGCACAGGGGGGCCCAGAACAGGAGACCAAGTTGGTTAGATCAGGCCAGGATCCCTTTTCACTCCTGAAAATATTCTGTGTTTTGAGTCATCTTCCAAAGTAAATTGCAGCAAGAAATTAAAAGGGATCCTGAAAGAGGGAAAAAAGTGAAATCCTTCCTGATTGGGATCAGTTGCAGTCTCCAAAAAGGAAGAATTCCCCAAATAGGCCAATCTGACAGGGATAAACGCTAGAAACACCCAGAGGTGGAAGGAACCTTCTGCCAGATGTGGTGGAGATGGAAAGAAATAACGCAGAAGACGGGAAGGACAAACGCAGCAGGATTCGGAGGATTCTCGGGATCTCATGGAAAATGGAACCACACTTTTAATCAGGTGTAATACCATGTTTGTTTGTTTGTTTAGTACATGTAGTTATTTATTAAATTTATTTGTCAAAATGGCCAACTAACCCAAAGACTTAAAGACCCTCTCCTAACCGTGATTGCCACCTGCTCTTCAGGAGTCCAGGAGAATCTCCAGAATTGGGAAATGTATATACAGAATATGGAGGAAAAATCAGAAATGGTGACAGAAGAAGAGGAAGAGGAAGAAGAAGAAGGAGGAGGAGAAGGAGAAGGAGAAGGAGAAGGAGAAGAAGGAGAATAAACGACAAAGACGGGGGAGGATTTAGAAGAAAGAGAAACCAGTGAAATGGATCAAAAGGAACAACAAATAACACAAGAAGAAAAAAGCTGATTCTGAGATATTAATGATGGATATAATAAATAAGAGGGGGGATATTGAGACTGGAATGCTGATAAATGAAATGGTTATGGAGAATACACAGTGGAGATCTAAGAGGGAGGGGGAAACTTTGAGAAATGGGAGAGAAAATATCAGAAAATGATGGTAAATGGAGGAAGGATTAAGGGAAAAAGCCAAAGGATAGAAAATGATAAGCAAAGAAACAATGAATTAATATAAAAGAAAGATTTAGAGACAATAGTTAGAAGTGGAAAAAAGACCTGGTATTTATATTAGAGGATCCATTGGATTCAGCACCTAAACTGATAGAAAAGATAGAAGAGTATGAGAAAGTAGCAGGTTTGAAAATAAATAAAGATAAAACAAAGATTTTAGCAAAGAACATGTAAGACGAAAGAAAGAATTGGAAGTTTTGGGGATCCAGGTCACAAACAAGGTTAAGTATTTAGGGA